TTTACCTTAGTGTTATAGGCAAAACTTATAAAAAGCAAAGTTTTATAAAAGTCTGTTTAATATATTAGTAATGCATTAATAATTTTTTTATTATTTACTTATTATTAGTGTTAGATTATTAATCTGTTTAATTATAAAAATTAATTTATTAATTAGCTTTTACAGTGTTTGTTTTACTAGCAGTAAAAAGTGTGTATGTGTTTTATAAGAAGTAAGAAAAATATACTTACACTTTATATAATTTTTTAGAAGAAATATATTATATGTAACTTTATAAGTAGTGTAAAGCATTTAGCTAGCTTTTTAATAGTAGTTAACCTCTAATAAATTAGTAATATATTTAAAACTTATTAAAAATATATTACTATAATATGTTTTTCTTAACTAATTTTACTTTATAATAAAACACTAGTTGCTTGTACTAGATTTTTAGTTTTTATTACTAAACTATCCTACTAAGAATTTAAGCTCTAACTAAAGGTTTACTAGTATAGTCTTAAAGTAGTGTCTATTCTAGCGCTAGCCTATATAATTAACACAAGCAACATATTAAATTAGTATATTAGTAATAGTCTAGTATAATGCATTAAAAATATGTTAATAATGTATTTTACTATATTTACCTACTCTAGTAACTCTCTAAATATAAGCTTATAAGTATTATTTCTTGCTTCTTATCTGCATGCCTTTTTTTTCTAAAAAATACTCTTTTAAGCAAGATACTAACTATAATAGTAAGTTTAATAGATTCTAAATATATTGTTAATGCATTATAAACTTATTTACCTACACTTAAACAGTAGATAAATTATAAGTTTTCTATTACTCTTAAATTCTTTCCTAGTCCTTAGGCTGTAAAGAGGTGTATGTTATGTTACATATAGATAGGCTAAGATACTTGTAATATCTAACACTAGTGCACTATTAATTATATCTTTAGCATTAGATATAGTTAAAAAGTTAGTTTTTTAAAGGGCCTTTTTAATTAAGTTTATAGTAGAATTAAATCTAATATGTTAGCAATGCATTATAAACCTATTAAAAATAGATTACTAACATTTTCCTAAACTAGTTTATATTACTTCTTATCTAGGCTAGAGGTTTAGACAAGATAAGCAACACTATCTTTACTTAACTTTAGGTACTCTAGAAAATGTAAAGCATAGTAAAGCTTCTTTACTGTTAAAATATGCTTACTACCTAGAGTAGATATTAGAATAACGCTATCCTTTAGCTTATAAAGTATAGATTGCTAGTAATCTATTAGCAATGCAGTTTAAATGCATTAGAAATATAATAGCTTATATAAGGGTCTCTTTATCTTTCTTTAAACTAGCAGAATTATTTGTTACTGTTAATGTTAATACGTTAGGTTTACTTGTAACAGGAACGCTATATAGGAAATTAAAGTTATTCTTCTATGTTGCAATAGGATTAACCTATAGCTGCACAACAGTAGGTGCATTAAAAAGTGCAGCTGCTAGGTTGTGGTTAGTTTAAATATATTAGGAATGCATTAAGAATACATTACAGTCAATAATATTAAGATAACACTTCTAAAATTTTTCTGTTGCGGCGAGGCAGCATTTTAACATTCAGCTGACCTAATGCGGTTTTCAGCTGACGTGGCAAAAAATGTGGCTTGCCAAGTCACCTTAGCCGAGGTAAGTGGCCTAGGTCACCTGGGCTGCGCCCTGGTTGGCAGTGTAGCCAACTCGCATAAACTCGTCCAACTCGTTCTTGGCACCCCCAACATGTATATAGTTCCAACTTTGAACAACCTTTGGCAGGTGTGTTCAACGTTTAGTTTATTCTTTACATAGACTGAGTAGCATTTAGCTTTCCAAAGAGCTGCAATACTATTTGTATATCTGCACCATATATACCTCCAACCCTGTCCAACAGGACCGTTTGACCCGGCCACCATACTGCCGCCTAAAGGCAAACCACGATCCGGTCACTCTATCTCTCTCCACTAGCCCAATAGCCTTTACGTAGGACTGTACACCCTGCCGTTGGCCCCTACTACCCGTCCTACCCCATCAGGAATATCATTGACCTGAGTGCTTCCACGAAGCAAGGATTGTAACAAGAAGCAGTTACACGTATCTTATATAGTACTATATCTATATACTGCGCTATTTACTTATTAAGACTAGGCTTTTTTTCATATAGTATATAGTTACTCTGGAGCTCTCTTAAGCTTCTAGGTATAAACAAAACACTTTACTTTATTAACCTCTTACAGAGCTGCATGATTACACTACCTCTCTAATTACATAGCTAAAGGCTTTTTTAAATTAGTAACAATGTAGTCTAAGAGTTTAGCTAGTTAAAATTAAAGACTGTGAAAAGCGTTCTAGGGTGTTAGGATGTACTAGAGAGACTTGGCATGCAGTAGCGTGGTTATCTATAGCTGTAATCTTCTGTAACAGATTTAGCGCTTTATCTAATTAAATTAACATCGAAGAATAGCTGTAGCGCATAGCGACGGGATTCTAGAAATGTCTGCGGCTAACGTAACCTTATGCTGCAAAAGCGATGTGCTCTAGACCTATATTCTGCTTGCTTATAGTATACAAACACAAGCCTTAACACTCTATTAATGATATTTCCATCTAAATTTGCGGAAGAGTTTATGCCCTTTCGAAGCTGGTTTATCTGCTTCCTCGAGGCTAGCAGAAAGATCTACAGCACTAGGTCTTTGCGCTGACAAGTCTGCTCTTAATCCATCGGTTTTGTCAGGTTCTATACCCAAGCCAGCAAGCCTGCTTCGAAGCGTCTGGCACGTTGGATGATGAGTTCCAACTACGTTTTCGTAGCCTGAGAGAGCTTTTGTGTACCAGGCTCTAGCATTTTCTACTTGGTGTTGACGATCGTAGAGTAAGGCAAAGCTGTACATAGTTCTAAGCGCAGGAAGATAAGTAAATAAGTTTTCTGGCTTCATTGCCTTCTC